GTTATTAAAAAAAAAATCAGACCGATATTTTCTTACCAATGCAAGTCGCAAGTCGGTGCACAGTGTACTTACGTAATAGAGAAAACAAAAAAAAAACATTTAATATAAAAATAACTAACATTAACCTCGAGCAGTATATTAAATCCGTGTAGAACAATGTTATAGGTAAACGACGGTAATTTATCCCCCTTGTGGCTCAAAGAATAAATTGAATCACATAAACCGTAATGATCTTGGATTAAACTTTGAATATCCAAACGAGCGTTGGATTTTTCGTTCGTATTCATGTGCGTCCTGCAACGCGTTTCGGGGACATTGCGACATTCGATATCCCGCAAGTTCCTTGTTCTCAGTGCGTGCTCATCGCTAGCAGCTGCTTTCGATCCACTTTTTTTTCCGCCTCGTTGTCTCGAGAGATTCACGCGGGTTTTGGCCGTCGCCGTTTTTGCCCGTTGAACTTGAACGCTTCGCGGATCGACGAACATCGCGTCCTTGTCGCGACAAACCACGATTAGTCGGTGGCACGCGGATTTCGCCGCGGTGCAGAGGTGATCCGAATCGATTATAACTTTACGATAATAGTAATAATGGTTGTAGTCGAGACAATAGCCGCAACACAAGGAACCCTTTTGTGCGCACGTCCCCTCCATCGCCCAACTATTGCGCGCTTGTCTCCGTTCTTTTTTACACGAGTTTTTGTTTGAATTTTTTGCCATAATTAATTACATTTTAATTAATTACCACTCCGATTAATCGCAACAAAACCGGCTACAAAGGTCATGCGCGCAAACACCGTCGCAGTGTCGTAGGTCATCCCGATATAACAGCGCGCATGCAAACTTACGACCGGTTACTGCAGCCCCTATTTTTCCTGCACAGTTCTTTATTTTTCAGTTTCCTAATAAAACGAGGAATCTATTGTAACGTGATAATTATCGTTTTCTAATCGATATCACTTCGTATTCGTATGATGTGTTCAACGCAAAAACAGTAAATTAAAACGCATTATTATTTTATTGATAATCAATTATTGATAATTTATTAATAATTAATGAATTGAGTTTTGGCATTAGCCAAATCCCAAATATTAAAATGTATTACAGTTATTACAATTTTTTCAAATGTTTATGAATTTTGACACGCAGTGTAATTGAGAACTGCAGTTTTTCGATCATTTCATTACTTTTCTCATGCGTAGTATATAATAAAATAATGTTAACCTAGTACAATCAATCGTGTTGGGTTTATGACTTTTAAATTTGATATGCTAAACTACTAAGTAGCGAATAATTGGTTTTCATCAATATTTTATTGACATTTTAAAAGAGTTCATAGTATGGCAAATCATTTGTTTTACGAAAACTGATTTTCTTCTTAGTTTTTTTCACTTATTTTACGACATAATTTTACTATAATATTACAAATATAATATTTCGCACAGCTGAGCTGAACATACAAGTATAAATTAGTGTATTTTATAATTTTATACATTTTAACGATTTATGTTATTGACATTTAGAGTTCACATGAATAATTATGTTGAATTACGTTTTTAATTATAATTTAATAAAATCCTAGTTACTTTAGCATTTCTATTTCCTCATAACCAATCATTCAAATAAGTAATATAAAATGCATGTATTAATAATTTCACTTTGAACATTATATTCTTTGAGTTTTTAAATCAAAAATCAAAATTATCAACTAAAACACGAATAATGTTATTGAAAATTAAACTAAACCACGGGTTTAAAAAAATGTCAAAAAAAAATATCATCATATATTATGGGTATTAGGATTATTTATAACTACCATATTTATACATAAAAAATAAAAAAAATAAAGAGTAATGTTTACCACAGCAACGTCACTCTAAATCCGAAACGTATGTATAAAAATTTGACTATAATCCTTACTGAACATGAATAGGTATACTATTTTTTTTCTCTTATCCACTATCATTTTATTACCAATATTATTATATTTTTGTGATAATCATAGAACGAACTCGAGTGTCACTGTAGTAATATTATTATTGCGTATAATATACAATAATACGTCATACGATTTGTATTCGATACCTACGGTAGTCGCGTGGTACCGACTGGTGTTTTCACATAATTCTGTGCTTGATATTATTACTCGTGTATGAATTTCTAATGTTACGAAATTGCCATTATTAAATCGCACCGCCATAAGTATAATATTATTTATATCTATTCTGTGATACATTATTGCAATGCGCGTACAGATGCGTAATACGTTATATGTATGCGCTCGGCCTATACATATCGCGAATGTTGGATTTTCATCGGTTACAATTTCTTCTCGCACCATTCAATATTGTCTAGTTATCAAAAGCAGCCACAGTCTCGCAATAATATGATATTATAAGGACTATTATAGCGTTTTCGTTCCAATAAAATCGATGGAAATTTAAAATATTACGACGGTCTCGAAGATTACAAACTTCTAAAAAGGTCTCTGACATTTCACTCTCTAAGATCTATAATGTATGTATACGATACGGGATTTTTAGTGAGACAGATTATTGGTGCCCTTCATCGTTTTGCTTCGTCGAAAAGAAGCGAGAGACGATTAGTTAGTCACTGGAGTGTTATGCAAAACGAAATATTTGTAGCTCGGTTACTATGAAGTCGTCTTTTATTATTGTATAAGAATAAAACTACACTATTCAAAATAAATTCTGAACACAATTAAATGAAACATATATTTATTACTATTGGTATGTAATGTATATGTATAGATATTAATATAGTATTATATATCTTTTCAGATTTTTGGTACAATTACTATATGTAAATTTAACATTATTCCCGAGTATTATTTTAGTTTAATAAATTTATAATAGAAAACTACCGGAAAATCGAAAAAATTATCCTTTTAAATCATCTTTGAATTGAATTTTCAGTGTAACAAGGTACAATTAGAATATGTTGGTAGAATTGTTTTACTTCAAAAGTATACAAAGAAAAGTGTACTCGTTATAATATTTCTCTTTTCACTCTATGGCTGCTAAGTATAAAATAAAATATAAATAATGAAAAAACAATTTTTTTTTCATTTATTATTTTACTTGAAAATATATTAATAACTTATTTTTCAAGCAAATTTAATATAAGCTTTAAGTATAATTTATTATTTACAAATTATAAATATATATTTGATTAAATATACCTACAAATATTATTAAAAAACTGCAAATAATAGATTGTGTATTAAATACCATATTATTATTCCACATAGGCCGGTGATGGATTAATGTCTAAACCATAAATCGTAATGGCATTGGTACCATTTAAAATAATTTACATTTATGAAGAAATCTCAATATTGCGTTCTACGAGAGGTATTTTAATCCGCATTCCACACCGATTTAGACTCAATAAACAATATTACAATTGTTAATGATGGTTTTTATTTTTTATTACGTACATAGTATAAAAAATCACAAAGTAATATTCCTCGTTAACGTTACTGTCCTTTTTTTCTGTTCCAATATAATGATGATACAAAGCTGGTTGAAGTGAGCGTAGAAGAAAAAGAAAAATCCCATTTGAAATAACGAGACGCTTTTATACTCGTATTATAATGTATACGTTTGCGGAAAAAATAATTTCATAATAATTGACCATATTTCAGCTGCACTGCATTAACATTTACATATTATAATTTTTTTTTTCTTTATTATTTTAACAATGATTCATTGTTAAACAAAATTTACTAGTAAGTTGCACACATTTAAACGATTAGTAGTTAAAACTACTACAGCATTGTAATAACCACTGCAGTCGAAACATCAATACGAATGATTCGTGCACTCTTGTTAATACTCGTATGAATAGCACTGAAATTTAATATCAGTAGCAGTACAAGCGATAATTTGATTAAGTATGATCAACCATATAGATGACTTAATTCGATTCAATTAAAACATATTTAGATTAACCTGGTTGCATTTAACCTTAGTACTCAGGCAACTATGAATTATTTGGAATGAGAATCTAGCACAGAATGTTTAAAGTTGCCACTTGCCAATGAAATGAAAGCATATTGTATCGTTACAAATTATTAAAATTGTAAAAATAAAAACTTTGGCTACCAACAGGATGTACCAGGATAGGACTTTTATCAATATATAAATATATATTCATTTAGTGAATGAATTACATGGCAATAAAAATACACTGCAGTTTTTAAATATTGTAAAACATGTTTAATCCTCGGCTCAAAGGACTGAATATAATTTTTTTTTTGAATAAAGACTACCAAGAGATTGATCGTTTTCGAACACATATTGTTATAGAAATACGCAACGATAGGTATATCGTATATGCCTCGAGGTATATCATCCTGCACGGTTCGCATGCATGTATAGTTAAACCTCTATCAAACGAACTTCTATTTTTTTACGTTATTAAATTTTGGGAAATTTCAGTTAAACAAGTTTGTATATTCCTTTTAAAAACCAGTCCCGTTCGTTAAATAGAGGTTCGGACAGGCTCAGATACAAGGGGGAGCATAGGAACGATGTCTCTCCCAAATGTCACGAAACAAAAAAAAATTATGACTTTATATGTCAAGCAACAATAAAAATTATTTTTTCTATAGCAACTATGTATTGACATATTTTCAAAAACCAAAAGAAAATTACATTTTTCTCTATAATTGTTAATTTAATTTCATATCTAATATTTTATCGTCCTTAAATAAAAAGATTTCTTTTCAATGTACCTACGTATTTTTTAGTTGAAAGTTTTTTCCTTTATACAGAATGTTAAAAAATATTTATGGTAAACTGTAGTATACTCATAATATTATAGAACTATTGAATTTCATATATGTCATATTATGTCCACGATATAAAATGCGCCCACCCCTAATAATTACTCCGGATCCGCGACTGGATTCGGCTGTATATCGTGCAACTGCTATGTACTTACGTGCTTGTAAACATTTCGTTCGACGGCTGTTTACAGATTTCAAAAAAGAAAACGGTTTCCAAGGGATACCCTCGGTGTTCGCCAACAAGCCCGCGTCCCCGTACAACATACCGGTGCTCGGCCAAGAGAACGCGGTTCATCGCGACGATCGCAGCGGCGGTGGCGGCGGTTACACGCTGAACTCGTATTTCGACGGAGCGGACGACGGGAGATACGGTCTTGGCGGCGGTGATGGTGGTCTGGACGGGCCGTTGTTCGACATCGAAGACCGTCAAATCGACGACATCGGTAGCTTCGACGACGGTGACGACGGAACTTTTGACTTCGCGATGTCGCCGTTCAAATACCACCGCGACGTATCCAGCGTCGGACCCAGAGGCGACTCCCTCGGATACGATGATCAGGTGAGATCATAAACATATGTATGTTTATACGTTTATTTATTTATTCCGGTGAAATCAATTACAATTCAATACATTAATTACACTAGTGTTATGTACGTACTGATATGTGTACCAACTGAGCTATAGATTGTAATTGGTACACAAAGTTCATGGATGTAAAATTTGTTTTTAATAAAATACTCGTACGATTAAAATACGACTTGACTAACATATTAATATAATTAACATCAGCGTTAATGCATAAGGATAATGTATTCTATTTAAACATATTTCCTTTTCATAATTTTATTACTACACGCATTTTAATCGAATTCGGTAACTATTTTGTTGATTGCTTTTTACAATGCGTTTTAATTAATTATATCATTAATTATTTCGTTGGTATTACTAGATATGCTTTTACATCAACTGTTTGTTAGCCTTCTTACTTCATACTTTAAATTATTGCATATAGTTTCCTCCCCCCGTGTGATTCGGGGAATTTCTCAAATTGGTTAATAATGTAGGTTTAATGTACTTTTCTGTTCTATTGTCTATAATTTTTTTAGCGATAAGCATGTCGATTTTTATAGGTTTTATTAAATTTAATCTAATGTATAAATTATATACAGATAATATATTTGTATAGTTAAATAATTCCTATGACGGATATTTTAATGATAGGGAGTGTACGCTAATTTAATTATAACTTTTTGAGTAATATGCGATAAAATAGTGTCTGGTTTATTTAAACCTCCTCAACATGTTATGCCTAAAAATTAAATATAATTACACAGTGTCATGCATATTTGTCTTTTTTTATTAAGAAAAGAACATCTACGATCTATAAAATTTTTTGTACAATAATTAAATTTAATAAAAAAAAGAAGAGACTATAAAACTGATGGCGAATATTATGGTTGGGAAGTTATCCATTGATAACACCCAACACGTGCGTTGGTTATTGACTAATGATTGTTATTGTAGAAGGTCTCTACATCATTTTCTTTTTAGTTTTCATCAAAGGTTATCGGGTAGTGTTTTAGATGATAATTATTTTTTTTTTTTAGTGGGTTAGTGCGTGATTGAAGTTAACTATGAAATCTGGTGTAGTTTGTTTCAGAGATTTAATTTAAGGTTTGTACCTTTAAATCTTTGTGGAAGTAAGAGTTTGTTATGTACCAAGGAGCAGAAGAAACTAGATGGAGAAAAATGGATTAGAAGGCTTGTATTGATCTGGTGTAGGAGGGTTTTCCAGCTCCCTATAATTTGATGCCGTAGGTCCATAGCGGCCTAAGTAGAGACTTGTATATTAGTAATTTGGTGTTAATGTTCATTTTAGATCTCAATAATGGACTTAGGAGGTGTAGACGGTAATTAAGGGCTTTTCGTTTATCAATTATGTGTAGATTCCAGGTTAGTTTACTATCGAAGGTAAGACCAAGGTATTTTACATGTGCGCAAGTGGGGATTGGAATGTTGTTCATTGAGACTTGAGGACATGTTTCTTTTTTTAAGGTAAATATTATGAAGGAGGACTTGGAATCGTTGATTTTGATTTTCTACCTCTTAGTCAAAAGGTGTATAATATTGAGGTGTCTTTGTATCATATTTGATGCTATAATGGGATTTTCATTGGATGCTATAATTGCCGTGTTATCTGCGTAGGAACCAAGTTCGGTATAGGAAGTTTTAGGAATGTCGTGAGTAAATATATTATATAGAAAGGGAGCAATATCGCTACCTTGGGGAACTCCTGCAAGAATGTCAAAGTAGTTTGAGTAACTTCAGTTGTAGCGTATGATGAAAGTATGGTCAATAAGGTACGATTTTAAAAGCAAGTAATAAAGCACAGATAAAATTTTTTTTAGTTTGAACAGTAAGCGTTCATGCCAAACCCTATCGAACGCTTGTACTACGTTCAGAAAGACGACAGCACAGTAATGTTTTTTTTCAAGTGATGAAGATATAGTGTCGACTACTCTGTAGAGTTGATAGATCGTTGAGTGGTTCGGTTTGAAGTCGTATTGTCTATCAGGGATCATTTTTGCTGTAATAGCCAGAGGAATAATTCTTTTTAGTAAATTCTTTTCAAATATTTTTGATAGAGTTGGTAATAAACTTATGGGGCGATATGAGATAATTTTTTCTGGAGGCTTGTTGGGTTTTGGAATTAATATTATTTCGGAAAATTTCCAGGTTAGGGAGTAATAGGATGATCACACTATTGCGTTGTAGATATAGGAAAGTAGTATAATTATTTTGTTTGGTAGGTTTTTGGCGGTGAAATTTCACGGTCCGGTCAATGATCCGGTCATAACCGAGAGCTTTTTTGTTGTGAAGTTTTTTAATAATAAACTCGATTTCACCAGGAGTAGTGTGTTTAGCTGGGAGTGATATGGAATATGTAGAGTCCAATGATTGTATGACTATTTGGATTTAAGTGTGATTTAGATTTATGTCGTGAGATGTGAAGGTTTTGGATAGATGTTGGCTGAATAGGTCTACTTTTTTGGTATCAGAAACAACCCATGTGTTATCTTTTTCCCAAAGAGGAAAGAGAGTTGAGACAATTTTCAGAATTTTTTTCGATGCTTTCCAGAGAGAAGAGTGTTGAGTTGTTAAGTTTTGTATATATTATTGATAGGTGTTAGAGCTGTGTTTTAAGAGTGCTTTTCTTATTTTGTTGTTTAGTTGGTTGTAGGTTTGTTTATCGATGGGGTATTTGTGTCTTTGCCACCGGGACCTTGCTTTTCGTTTTTCTTGGAGAAGAAATTTTATGTGATTTGGAAGTGGGTATTTTTTGGGGTGGGTTGTCAAGTGCGTGCATTCTTGAATTTCTCTCGTGATCTTTTGAATTTTAATATCAATATCATCGCTTGACTTTAAAGACGGGTTGAGTTTTGTGCGAATTTCAATGAGCTTTTGAAAAGCAAGCCAGTCTATTTTTCCGTGAGTTTGGAGATTTATGGGAGAATTCGCAGAGAGTATCTCAAACTCAAGTATAACAGGTGAGTAGTCAGATGATAGATCATTAGAGTTGGTGATAGTAGTAATGCCGTTGTTTGGTATTTTTGTGATAAAGATATCAAGGATATCTGGACGTCTGTTCTGATGAGAGAGTCAATAGGTGGGGTGAGGGGGAGATAGTATTTTTATATTGAAGTTTGCTATTGAGTTGTGGAGGGTTCTGCCTCTTATGTTAGTTGAAAAGCAGCCCCAAGAGAAGTGTTTAGCGCTTAAGTCACCGATAACGATAAAATATTTACCAATGGATTCGAAGAAATTGATGAAATTATTTGAGCTAATTTTAGGTTCTAGGGGGCAGTAGGTGGAAATGAGTGTCAGATTAATATGTTTATTAACAGGTACAAGGATGCTTGTAGTTTGGCGGTATGTTTCACTGATTAAAGGAAGAGAGGGGTGGATTAAGTCATTCTTAACAAGTATTAAGGAACTAGCGTGTGCCGAGGTGATGGGTGATTGCTTTGATAAACTTTGTAGCCGAGTATTTTAATAGATTTTGATGGAGTAAGATGAGATTCGGATATCATGGCTATGTCTATATTAAGATCACTAAGGATTGTCTGCAGTTCTAATTTGTGCGGTGTAATGCCGTTTGCGTTCCATGTGAGTAGTTTGAGTTTAAAACTAGTTTCCATTTTTGGAGCTTAATTTGTTTATTAATGAGGTAAGAAGGGTTATTAGGGAATTTAGAAGTGTTATCAGAGGATTAATGAGTGTTTTAAATTCGGAAATTAACGTTGTTAGTTGATTTGTTAATTTTTGATTTGAAATAGGGTCATTAGTATTTTTTAAATCTGATTTTATTGATTTCTTACTTATTACTGCTTGTGAGTATAATGAGTGCTGGGTGTTAATGGATTCATTTTGAGTAGTTGTGAATACATTGTTGTGAAATTGAGTTTCTTCTTGAAGAAGATGGCTGTTGTATTGGATTTGAGATGTAACTGAATTTTGGACTATTTCTCTTGAGATGGTGTTTGGTTGATGTTTTTTTCGGAGACGCTGCAGATCTTTATGTACCGTGCATCCTCAGTAGTTTGTCGGATGAGCATTACTGCATAGTGCACATTTAGCAGGGAAGTCTTTGGATTTGGAACATGATTCGGAGCTATGGTTTTCACCACATCAAACGCACTTCGGTTGATGATAACAGTATGACTTGGTATGGCCATACTGATGGCAACGGTGGCATTGTATTAGATCATGCCTGATGTGAGGAGCTTCTACATTTATTTTGGTGAAACAAATAGTTTTTAAATTAAAAATATCTTGATTGTTTGGTGCAGGATTTAGATCAACGAAAAAGAGCGGAAGGGGCTCTTTAGTTTGCGTTTTTAGTATCTTAGTAATATTTTTTTACCAGGAATCCTTAATTTTTTATTTCTTTCTTGATGTAGTCAGTTGGGATTGAGTAATGTAGATTTTTGATAACGACTCTATAGGATTTTTTTTCACGTGTTTGATATGTGTGGTATTCTAGGTTGTTTTCATTACAGTTTTATAATAGTACGGTAGGAATTGCCTGTTACTCAGGTATATTATACATATATATATATATATATATATATATAAATCTTGAATGGTTTTTGTCTGGTTGTCTGGTTGTGTGTCACAAACGTATCAGGGGTGAATTTGTGTGAAGAAGAGTTGTGTTTAGCTGGAGTCTTAGTACTACCCGAAAAAAAAAAGTATATTTTGTTAAAACACTATAATACTTTACTGTTATCTACAGACTTAAAAAAGATTAAACTGTCATAGAGATACATAATATTGTGATATACTGCAATAATATATTTTTTCTAATATTTTTTAATGATATTAAGGTAGGTATTTGCACAATTTATCACAAATTATTTTTACCAATCACTGCAGAGACAAACGGAGTTGATACATTTTTCGATACAGTCCAATAGCTCTATAGAATGTACCGTTTCGCATTATATCATAAGCAGTCTCTTTAATACATTTTCTACTATTATCTTCAGTGTTACTCTTGCATTTTTCTGCGATTAAACATACATGATTAAACAATTCGACGGAAAGATTCTTAACGAAAATGTTTTTAAACGGCTACGTGTTTCATTTGTTCACGACGAGCGTAGACAGGAAACAAAAGCATGTATAAACGAAATTATTCCCTACGGCGGGTGTGTCAATAGCCATATCTTTTATCGTCGAGGTGCTTCAAAATGCCAAACTTATATTGTATGTGTATAAATATCTGTTTAATTGCAGTGCACCACAATGTGACGTTATATCACGATTAAAAGGTATATTTCAGTCCAGGCACGCACCCAGGATTTTTGTTTGGGGGGGGGGGATTAAACATTTTCTTACATTCCTTACACACAAATAAACAATTGCCATTAATTTTCTATTAATGTATAACTACCATAATAATAAAACTTGAAAAACATTTTACCTTTCATACCTATCATTGTAATACTATACTTGTGACGATATGATATAATGTATAACTTAATGTATCATATAAGATATTTTTTTTTGGGGGGGGGCTACAGTCCCAAAGCCCCCCCCCCCCCTTGGGTGCACCACTGTTTCAGTCCGAAATTTTCGGACATTTAAAGCGCTAAACAACAATTTCAACACGATACATTGAACTGTTTTTGTCCGAGTTCTGTCTTCTTTTTCTTTTTTTCTCTTTTCATACATACAACTGGGATGCATATCCTGTACGTTATAACTTTTTCACTTCATGCATAATTAATGAATAATATCGTTCAAGTAGAAAGTACATTTTTTACACGATAAAAAAAAATCCTTAGTAGACCTTTTCTTTTTATTATTATTATTATTCAATTTATTCTTTTAATACTTGTGATAAAACTGTTTTATAGGAATGCAATTTAAATTTTGGAATACATTTGTAGTTATAAATTAATAAAAATACACGAAAGTACTTCATTAAATAAGAATATCGGAAAATATGAATTTGAAATGGATGAAAATAAATCGATTGCTATTAACGCCATATTTAGAAACTACACGTAACGGAGAACGATGAGAACGATGGAACAGAATACTCCAGTGATTATACGTTTGAATTCATTCGAAACCATCGTTGCACATGGTGACCTCGATAAGCATTTTAAACATTGTTATGATTTATGACTTCTGTTTATCTTCGTCTTATATGTTATATTTTAACGCTTTTGCATTTTTATCCCATTTGTTTTTCGTTCAGGCTATAGTTTCGTTTTTCAAAGATTCCGGACAAAATTGTACTTAAGAAAATGTGCCCGAACGGGCCGTGATTTATGAACGTCAACAAATTTTCATCTATTACGAATACTGAATTGCAAAAGTTTTATTCTTCCTATACAGCAATAGGCATAATATTCAATATTAATACGGTGCATGATACTTAAATAAAGTATTAATAATATTATTTGCTCATTAATGAGCTTAATTTAAAATAAAAATATAATTTTATTGAAATCCACTGTTTGAGAATTAGATGACTGATAAGTGCTAGTAATTTTCAGGGGATCGATGATAATAATATTCAAAACACAACTTTGAGTAGATGTAGTTGAACAATGAACTTAATAAGCAATAAATATATTATGTTTTGCGTAAAAAATAGCATCAAAAGTAGAAGAAAAATGCGATAGGGAAACAAAATTATGTTTTTGATTAATTATTACAATACTTACAGTTAATATGCAACACGAATCCTTAGTACAATACATACAGGACTATAAATATAGTAACTACGATCACTATGTAATGACTACAAGTTTAAAAAAACAAAATTTATCTGACAGAACAGTCATGATTAAATTTATAATACGTACATAATTATGTAAAATTGTTTAATAAAAACTTAAAGTTACAAATACTCGTATTATTATAAAAATAACATATCACTATCGAAGTATGACTATTCGGTTTTTATATCTAATCCCTTTTTAATTAAATTCAGAGAGATCTAGCATAGAGGTTATACAGTTCTACGTTGGTGACGTCAACATTTTGTAAGGCTGGGCAAGTTAATGATATTTTTTAACTCAATTAATTTAAGTTAATTGAGTTCGTGTTCAATTAAGTTAATAATTAAGTTAAAAATATAGTTAAAATATATCGTTAACTTAACTTAACTTCAATAATTACCTATGTTAAGTTAATAACAAAAAAAAAAATTACATTAAGCGCTGATATAAGTGATGTATATATTAACAATTTACATACAGATCTTAATTAGCATTAATGATAAAGAAAAAGCAGAAAATCTGATTAAAGAATATTTTTGATTGAACTTTAATTAGAGTAGAAAAATATACATTTATTTATTGGGATTGTTTTTAAGCACTCAAATATCAAATTTAAAGTAATTTATATATGGTTTGTTTTTTATTAATTTTTCATATAAATCACATATAATAAATATAATTTAAAAAAAGTATTCTTTTTTATTGTTCAATAATAGTATGAAAACTAAAAATAATTACTGCAGCTGAAAATGTTATTATAAAATCATACGGATAATAAATGTATACAGTAGATACAAAACATTAAAATAAATATGGAATATATATATTAATATTTAACTTTATTAACACAATGTGTTAACCAATAAAACAATACATTGGACTGGTTAATCAAAATATCTATTGAATTTCAATAAAAGAGTCATCTCAAAATGTTGATAAGCTTTTGAATTTCTTCTCATATCCAATAATATTTATTAATATCAATATTATTGAATTATATCATCGGTTAAGAAATAATTTTAATAATAATTATATTCTATAATCCAAAATGTACCTATTTATGTAATATAGATGTATGGCCTGTTTTCATGACAATGATAATGTAATTCATGGCTATTTTTACTCAATAGTATTAAGACGGTTGTCTACTTTTCTCGAGACTATTGGGACCCTTATTATTAGTTGATACCACAATAAATATTATGCTCTTATCTAAAAATTCTTCAAAATATATATTTTAAATTTTTATAGATTCCATAAACTTGTTATCAAACATGGTAATTTACAAAAATATTTTTACGGTCTTGAATATCAAAATTAACTTAATTGTTATAAAAAATAATACATTAATTTCAAGTTAATCTGTAAGGAAATGCGTTAAGTTAATTTATCGATAACAAAATAAGTTAAGTTAATAAGTTAAAATAACTTAACTTTTAACTTATTAACTCATTAAAGCCCAGGCTTGCAATTTTGACTGTTTCAAAGTTAGGAAAACAAAAGCGGCCACTTTTCCGATGGGTCTCTACAATAATTTTCTTTCAGATAAACAAGTACAAATTATTTGTAGTTAACTTAACAGATTTATGTGACTAAAATTTAACCAGAAATAAATCTAAAGGTTGATTTTGATCTAATTAAATTAAAGCAAGTAATATTTGTTTAATATTGCATATTCAATCAAGATTCCCATGTGATGGGGAAATCCCAACGGGCCGTTGGTTTTTATTTTATTATTCAACGATTCTTTTCAATTCTTTATACTTAAAAAAAAAATCAATGATTTTCCAAACGTTGAAAAATATAAAAAGCATATTTCCTCTTTCTCTTCCTGTTTTGCGTGTATGTATATACAAAAATACTTTTACCGACAAAGTTTTCATGTTTTAATAATTTTTTTTTTTTTTTTTAGAACTATTACGGATCGCCTTACACCCACAAAGAGTACAAATCGCCAGGAAAACATCATCATAAGGCGGGAGGATCGTTCCAAAAGGCTGGTCATTACTTCTCGCAGGGCACATTGGGCGACAGCGGCCACAAGAGTCACCGCGACTTTGACAAGGGACATGCGGGCAAGTATGGCAAAGAAGATCTCAAGAGTCACTACAAAAAGGGTTCTGGACATATGCATGGACATAAAAACGAGGCGGACCACTATGGAAAGCACAAGAGTGGCACACATGGCCATAAAGGGTTCAAGTATGGTGAGACGAATAATCACAAGAAGGGCCACAAAACCACTGGGTTCCATAACGTTTATCACAAGGACGAGTACAACAAGGAGCAGAAGTTCTACGACGACGCGCACAAACAGGGTAAGCTCGACAAATACGGCGGTAAGCACAAAGATTTCAAGCAGAAGAACGGCGGGTACAAGCATGGTAGCCACCACGATTCGGGATACGACGAGGCGCACAAGGGCGTGTCGGGAGACTTCAATAAGGGGCACTACTACGACGGCCACAAGGGACACAGCGGTGAATCCGGGCACCAGTCGCATCACGACCACAAGGCCGGCTACGACACGTTGTCCGACAATAAGAAGTACGGCGAACACCAACACGAGTCGGGTGGCGGTAGCGATGACTTCTATTGACCGCGGTACTTCGTTGAAAGTATACCGTCCTTGTGTAGTACAATAATATCATCAAAGATATGATCTGTATATTATGTGTTACACGAATCGCGTTCGAAAATATTGCCACTTCCGTACACGTGATAGCGTTTTTTTATCTTCTTTACTATTTCCGAACGGATATTATGTGCATGTATAAAATTATGTCGCGTTATAACGAAAATACGTGATAAAAATTCAACGAAAAATATACACACGCGACCGATGCAAATGAACTCGTAATAAAGGATCGTTGAATGAAAAAAAAAACAATTCGCCAAGGCCTAACCGACATCGTCGAACACGTAAAAAAAAAATAAATATGATTATTATAAATGATTATAGTACCATATATATATATAAGGGTTTGTACGTATTTATCCATTTATTTACACGTATATTTAATATGAAAAAAAAATTGCTTTCCACACACACAGCCTGCGCGCACACTAATACGTCGTCACACGCGTAATAAATAATTGCCAGTAGTTACGGTAATAACATTATAATGATATATGTAATAGTCCATCATCGCACACGTTAATTGTTAATCCACGTGATGATAATCGTATTTTTCCTACGTTAACGTGCTCCGATTTATTTTTTATTGTACGTTTCATTTCGATTTTAGTTTTAAATTGATTTAATAAACTCATACGTGATTTTCTTGTACAAATAATTTATGATTAAAACTTCGACATTAATGCAGGGGCCAGCGACGTTAGATCTTATATGCAAGTATACGATCCCTGTTTATTAATAAAGCACTCTCCACTTAAGTTGAAAGTAAGTATGTCATTATAGGTTTTAGTTATTTAAAGTTTATGTATATATTTATATCAATTTTGTTAGTCGATTTTTAATTTTTTTTTTTTATATCATATATCTTTGTTATCTTGTGCAAATAATTTGTAAATTCTAACCTTCCTGATTGCACACTACCACAAAAGATATATGAAAAGAGCTGTTCAATTATTTTGAATACATTGATAAATTAAAAATGCAATGAAATCATTAAAAACCGATTTCGATCATTTATCATACAATAATAATACTGTCTACTTCCAATGCGTGGTTGACTTGTTAGCCGAAAATGTACGGAAAAAAGTACACCATATCTTCGAGATACTTATTAATACCGTTATTTCAATTGTTTGTTGAACCGATAAAACATTAAAAACCCTAATATATCAGAAGTAATTATACTAATCGAACAGCTCTATGGGCACATTATATACACTGCACTTGAAACATTGTTTGCAAATATACGCACAGGTTTCGTTTTTTATTGTTGTAATATTGTAATACTGTAAGGTTTGTGTGTATGTTTTAAATATAATTAAAAATTGAAATACTATAAACATACATGTTTTTATTAATAATATAGTAATAGCATTGATTATAACATTTATTGCGGTAAAACAATGATTAATCTAGACTCATTAGTTCAGTCGGTTGGAGTGTTGTGCTAATATCACAAAAGTTATGAGTTCGATCAACGGTCCTCCACAAGCCGATAATTTGTTTTTTTTTTTTTGTTTTATATGCTCTTGACAATTATGGACTTTGCATGAGCTTATTGACGCGATGGCATTATTTTTCCTGATTTGTGCTTAATACGATTGTATTACCGATTGTATTCTATAATTTTACTATTTTAATCACTACATTCGCATTAACTTCTAAATAGATCGATAAAAGTTTCGCCAAGTCGAACGCCCATATTAACCTGTTGACATTATCTGTTACATTTACCTCGGATATCACAGCAATGAAAGTTCTAACACCTTTGATATTTTACTATGATAGAGAATCACTAACAATTATATCATTACCTATTGTATTCGGTAAACGGTCTTTAAAACGGAGTCACGTCAATATGCATTACTTTCATCTATTATTTCCAAGCAGCTCATACGAGGCAATACTCCGAAATATTCGAAGATATCGGAATGGTCGAACGATGCTATTAATATGAATTCTGCTTAGAATATAGTCGTGTTTTTCACCTTTACAAAGAGATGAACATATTTCATATATTACATATGAGATGGTCTATTTTTTTCCTACATATATTTACCCAATATTTACCAATATATATCTACATAAATACTAAACTGGTCATATCGTTGAAAATATTAAAAACTTCGATGTACAAGTAATGCCGTTTGATAAGTGACTCGGTTTGCATCGAACACATCTTAGATTTTCAACACTATATCGTGTAACGTTTAAAATTAAAATGACTATTTATAGGTACAGAAATACACATATTTCATGAGCTTGATTTTAGATACAACTTTTTTTTATTATATGTTATAAATTATATTATTACAATGTCTTATCTTACATAAACACAAAGAGTTAGAAATTGAAAGATTTTTTTTCTTGTACCAAATCATAGAGATCATTAGATCTCATCATAGAGAAATCATTGAGGAATAAGTAATATACATATTTCAGTCCATACTTCAGCCTACGTGAAAATTTATATTTTATTCAGAGATATTTATACTTATAAATTTAAATACATATATAAATGTATGCTTGAATATAAAACAGTTCCTTTACAGTTAGAAAGGTATTGAAATACAGATGAATAAAAATATCTAAATCCCAGTATTCAAAGTCTTTCTTTTATATATTAGTAATCTAAAAATTGAACAACGAAAAATATAATTGAAATATTTTAAATAAACCCAGATTTAAAAAATAATCTGTACATTCGAGTGTTCGATAATCGAGTTTTATACTTCATATTTCTCCACGCCCCCCCTCCCCCCGTAAAATATGAAGTAATGAATTTTTCGATTAAATCAATCAATATAAAACCTATAGCATCTTTTTAATTTATGTCGAACAAACACACAATATTGGAACTTTTAGTACGTGATGCACTCAAAATGAAAGGGTTGTAGACAGAATTGAAATGAGATTTCCCGGGAATAATGTCTAGTGATATGCCAATTAGGTATAAAAGATTATTCGAAAATACTGTTAAAGGAAATAGTAATCATTAGAATACCAGTGTTCCATTGTGATCGTGTATTATAATAAAATCCAATAATACCGAATTTTGATAAGTTGATTTTTAATTTTAAAAGTGCTAGTTCCCAAAACACATAATTTGTAATACTTCTTCAGTAGAAGTTTTGTTTCATTTGACATTTTCTTGCAATCAGGTTATAATTGTTTTCTGAAAATTACTTAAAAATAAGTGACATCGCGGTAAGCTTATAATAATTGTCAAATGGTATTAATTATATCTGGCATGTGTAAAATGTGATGTGAAATATCTATAAACCAAGCACATGTAATACGGTGGAATTCTATTTTACTCGAACAGCTAATTGAGAAAAATTATTTCTCGTACATATAGTATTTCTGAACTTACAAAATGTTTTATTTCACATGAAACTAAGACAAATATTATGAAACTATGTAATGTAAGATAAATATTATTATATCGATTAATATTTGTCATGGTTAACATAGTATTCTCACATACTAAGTTAATTTTGTTATAAATATTACAATAATTTACACAAAATCATTAAATATTTTTTGAATAGTTATTATAGCGCATAGCAATCACCCGAAACTATTCAACTCGTCAACTCTCTTGTAGCTGTATAAAGTTATTTATCTCCTACAGATTTTAATGATTGCTAGGTAAACATAATAATAATGATAAAAAGTGCTAGTAAATAAAAAATACAGGTAAAAATACAAATACAATAAAAATAAAAATACAATAAAAATATTATAAAATACAGGTATGGGTAAATGGTTTTGCTGTATTGGCCTTTTAAATTTGAAATCTATGTACCGTTACTCTCAAAAGAACGATTCTGAGTGAAAGATGTCCAGTGGATCAGTTCATATTTCTAAAGATAGTCGATATACTAGAAGAATCAAATTTCTAAATAAGTAGGTCGAACATAATGCTCTATTTTTAGCAACAAAAAAAGCATCTAAAATGTAGGAAAATCGAAAACTTCAAGTAGGTACATATTATTACAACAACAGAAGCTTCGTTAAAATTATTCTCAAGTATAAAAAGTTTTTAACGAAATAACTAATATGATTTAATGTAAATTCATTTACGTATCCGATTTCGTTAAAATGTAATTATGTAATAGCTTCAAAACTTTCTTGCCGCTTTCCAAAATATTGTTTTTGTTTTTGGTTACAAAGAAAATCGTATAAACAATTTTGGATCCAATTTTAAGTCTTAAGAATAAAAATTGAAAATTGTATGTATTTTTGTGATTTTTATTGTTTTATCATAATTTAATATTAAAACCATCTTATTTTTTTTTCAATTAAACTCAATATTTTTCTTTCAGTAAAAGATAAGTTTGAGGAACCGAGTGAACTGGTCCCCTTTATGTTGGAAAATTCGTCCAACTGGATATAAATTACTCGCTTCGCGACGCAGACTTGATGGACGCCAAAGAGAACGCAAAAGACAATCTCGGCAGGGGATAACTCCCTCACGGCTGGCGAACTCGTACTTTTATGGGGCGATTCACCCCTATGTTTAACTTTGTGATGGTTGAATTCACTATATAATCATGTAGTTGGTCATTATTTTACTGACTACTTTGGTGACTAATTTGTATTCTTTGCCCAACCAAATTAAATAGTCGGCTGGGTAGAAGTACTACGAGTCATGTTAGGAGATATTTGTAAGGGACAGTCCATGAAGGACTCTCCTAATAGCCACTTCAACCAAAAACCTATATACCTATGATATATCGTGAGGGATTGTCCCACCGTCACCTTAAAGTTGTACTGTGACGTTTTCATTAATAAACGATGACGACCCACCCCACCTGATGGATTGACTAACGGCGTTTCCAGGTGACGGTGTATCGTCGATTACAAAAAAAAAAAAATTTGCAAGTAACTTTGTATTACATTTTTAAGTTTCTTTGTTATACCAAAATTATTTTATCGTCGTTTCCGAAAAAAATAATAAAATATTATTTTTTGAGTTTCGAAGAAAACACGAATTGATGACTTTGTCAAAAAAACAGTATGTCATAGTTTTATAACTTTTCGTAAGTTTTTGCATTATTAAAAATCCTGTAGGGAAAATCATAAAATAATATATTTAAAAGTACCAACTTCTTCATGTTAAGATCAATATATTTCTGGATTCACTCAGAATCTAAAAAAAATAAATGTGAATTAATTCTGAATTAGTACTGTTCTTTTTTTATTCATTTTGAAATCCGTTAGTGCGATGCTGTGCTCTCTCTTTTTAGATAATAAACAAAATAATGCTGTTGGCTAATTCATACAGATCTATAATCTGTAAAATATATCATGTAAAACATATTTTGAAGTATCACAAATATTAATGATAATTTGCCACATTTTTAATCTAAGGATGTACTTCAGTTAAATGTTTGTTTTTTAAGTTAAAATATAAAAAATGCAATATTATTCGAAATGGTTTATTCGTCATATGATTTATCATAACTTTCAAATAAATTGATAAATAAGTTTGAATAACACAGCGACAGATTTATGAATTATATTCGGAACAGTATTGCAACCGTTTTTTTGTTGAGTTTTTCAAAAATAAATATTAAATGAATACAATTTACGGATGGCAGTTATTTCCGTGGATAACGTAATTAGAACCGTTTAAAAACTGATTGGATTAATAAATAAACGTCCGTTTTATTTAAATTATATAACCATTTATAGTTTACGTAAAAAATGTTTAAACTTTATTTCAGTGTTAATAAAAAAAAAAAATAATAAAAAAACACGAGCTGTCTCTAATTCTTATATTTATGCCGTCCAATCAATTTAAATTCATCACCAAATGAATTTTCTAAAAAGAAAAAAAATACTCAATAGCCGATTAGGTGATCCAACCCACGACCTTTGCGTTATTATTAACATGACGCTCTAAATTACTAAGCTAAAAGGCCCGATTAGAGAGAAGACGATTTCTCATAGCAATTAGAACAATGTCATTATGTCAGTTAATTATATCAAGTTAAATAAATTATTAGCACAATCGACAACACTCTTGTTTCGCGTATACAGTAATGGGCTAAAACAATATATTAGTGTTGAATGGAAAAATGTAAGCATTTAATTACGAATATGTTAGGTATCTACGTCACAAATATTGATAATTGTTTACTATTTCTCTTTACTTAGTTTAAATAATATTAAAAATTTGATTTCTCTAACTTATTAAAGACTTATTAACTCATTTAAACTTATTTGGATAAAAAAAATAAAATAAAAAATAATAACTTTTTTTGTGTTTGAATACAAACGAATAAA